TGCCTGTTCTGTATACATAGTATAACTGTTCCTCCTGTTCATTTCAGCATTTGCACATCTGCCTGTTTTGATGCAACACTTGGCTAATAACTACAAACACTGGAAAACACTGGATGAATTAAAGTGCAAGAGTGTCAGGCTCCCATCAGAAAACAACAACTGACACTAAGGCAAGAAAACCAAATCTCTTGATCTACCAGTTTCACTGTGAATCACTTACAGACTTGGATACAAGAGGGGTGGTGTTTCCTTTCCAGTGAAATTGAGACTTTGTGGCAAGAAGGAAATATTTTATTCATCACTTCTAAGCTTCTCTGAATCCTAAAGAAAAATGTTTTCAAGAAGGCTACATAATCCACAGATTAATAAGTGCTCTTTCAAAATAACATTTTGTGGCAGAAAATGTACTTCTGAAGCTAATTTCTAATACTGAGTATACATCTGTCAAATCTTATAATTGATACAACTGTTTTCACTAACACTTCATACAACTGTTTCTCAGACAGAGGGGTAACCTAGTCACCAGTAGGGTAAGAACAGGTTGACAAATAAGCATAAAAACTTTCTCCAATCCTATTGATACGGTTTAGAGAGCTGAAGAACAACTAGAAGAGAATGTGCACAGTAGAACAAGTAAACCTTGATAAACAGGACAGTAAAAAACAAACGCTGCACCATTTAACACAATCTTCTTATAGAGACTTTCTCTTAGAGCACCACTGTTCTTTCTTTTCCATATAAAATCTTGGTAGCAGTCAAATTCCCTTTAAATTAGTCATATAATGAGGAAAAGACAATGTTCTGTAAAACTGGTGCCATCCACACGTTTCTCTGCCATCTTAGAGATGTTAACATGAAATCTTTCCTCAAATACACAAAAAACATTGTGGCACTTGGTCAACATCCTTTTCTACATAGTGGTGTTTATACACATCATCAATTTTATTAAACTGATCTAAATTTTATGGTAAGTCCATATATTGTGCTACTTATTTCTAAGATGAGCCTGTTGCTTTTTAAAAAAAGTCTCTGGGTTATAAATTGTAACAGCATTATAATTTGTACTGCTTTTTCCCTCGTACTAAAATGCTGGTTTGCTTTGTGAGGTAAAAAGTATTTCAGAATATGTAAATAAGTTAGAAATCAAACATAGTTTTTCATTAGTTTTAAGATACAAAATTTATGCTATCGCTTCCAAAGCACAAATGCATATTTTTATACATCTCATTTTAACCCCCTGCAGAATGAGTTCAAATTTTAGACTACTCTCAGACTATACAGTTAATAAATACTAGCTGAACTGCTGATTTTTAACACTGTGCCTCGAGGCTGCAGGCAAGAGCTTCAAAGCTGTGGCTGCAGTTGAAGAAGCAGTCCACTGCTCCTTAAAAGGACAGGTCTTGAGACATACTCTTTACCTCTTCTATGCTGTATCATGAGTTGAATCCAGTAAAGGTAAAAAAAAGAACAAAAACAAACACATAGAGTTTAGATTGCTGTGGAAGAAAAGTGACAATGACTGCTGTCTACTGCAAGTAGCTTACATAATGTGCCAACCTTTTTTGTACGTTTTGTACCAAGTTCTGAAACAAAAGGAAACATTCATAAAATGTAAGTGCAGATAAATGTATATAAGCTATATTTTTGTTAGAATTGTAACAGAACCTTACTTTTGTCATAGCTAAGGCAGGTCTCTGTGTATTAAAATGCTGCATTGTGTATATCTGAAGAATGGTGTTTCTGGTGAAATTGGTGAAATATGTTTATTCATTCCTTCTTATTATCTATTGCAACATTCTTCAATGGATTTTTAGTCATGTAAGTTGAACCTGGTTTTTATATTGTAAACTGTTTGCTTTTACCATTCCTTTGTTTAGAACTAGTGTTCTTGGTGGTTGTGTCTTAACTATTCTGATGACTAAACGCTCACTGCAGCTTGCATTAGAGAAAAGGATTTCAGAAGATTTAAAGCTTTGTCATCTTAATTTGTTAAATACAGCAACACTGTAAAACCACACCCATGTAAAGCATTTCAATTCATTATTTTTGCCACACTTCTGTCACAAGGAAGAAAATGTCAATGGTGGAAGGAACCTAAGAAATAAAATTCAGCCTCAGTTCTGGTTCCTGAGTTAAGGTGTTGATGTGTCATCAGTGTATTTGTTGCAAGATCCTGTGTTTCTTCCCACAGTCAGAGACTTACGTAAAAAAGTAGTGTGTGGCAGCATGTTCTTTTTAAGAGCAAAAGAAATCAGCACAGATTAATCATCATCTGCCAGTTGTGTCAGATCTCCTAGACTCTGACCTGTCCAGTTGATTAACAGCTCCTTGTTTCATGCTATTGTCAGTGCACAAACAAGTAAAACAGCTGCCTCAGAGTTACAGAAGTATTAAGAGTATGTCTGCTGGTTAACTCCATGAGGAGAGCATGGAATTCTGTATTACTGAGGTGTGAACAAAGAGATTTAAAACAACAAAGTGGGAGCAAAATTTCTAACCTGGTTACTGCTATTCCCAACAGCAAGTGACAAACTTTTATTTAACAAGAGTGGGCTACTATAGCCTCACTGTGTTCACTGTTATGCTCAAAGTTCATTTGTAAAAGAAAGAACTCAATTTAATACTTTCAACTCAACCATCTTTAAAGGAAAAGACCCGTGGAAGCTCTATTACCAATGGAGCATATCTGAGAACAATGGCACTTTTCATAGATATAAATATTTATACATGCATGTAGGACTATTTAAGACTGAATTACATCCCTGTAAAATACACAGTGAGTTTCCTGACTAGAACTGTTCAGTTAAATAGGTCTGTTTCTCTACCAGGCATTCACTTCAAAGCAGTCGCATAAAAATGAAATAGATGTTCTCATGGTATAGGAAGAAGAGATAATAAAAAGATGATGTTCCTTCTCTCTAGTTGCAACTGATGACAATAGTAACCTCTCAAAATAAAAAAAACCCTATTTTTTCTTTAAGTTTTCATTGTAAAGTTTTAGTAGCAATGTGTAAACATATACTTTATATACAATTAAACAGTTACTTTTCAATTGAAACAAGGAAAAAAAAGCCAAAGAAAAACTTACATCACCAGCTTCGACTGGGCTAGCCAAAACCACAACACTTGCTTATGAAAGTAAGCTGAAAAAATAGACCATCAGGGAGAAGGACTTAACACGCCTTTCTTCCCCAAGCTGAATACCATATACCCCAAGGCATGTTATCATCAGCTGCAATCCAAATGCCTTTCCAGTGCTAGTCTATAGAACAGCCACCCTGAGCAAACAACATAAAGCTCAAAACTAAACTCTGACTTAACCCTCCTGAATTGAAAGGACATACTAATTTAACAATTTCTCCATCTGTTTTATGGTTTTGAAATACGTCATTTTGAGTTCTACACTCAAGATTAGTTTTGCAAGTTGACTTAAAGTCGGGGAAAAACACAGCTCAAAATTTTACTGTCCCTCTGCCCTGCCTTCCAGGGAAGGTTACTGGTAGGCTCAAGAGGCAAGGCTTGGATTCTGGGTTGTAGGGGGAAGGCAAGTGTCAGTGGAGACTTGGGAAAGCAAGTCTATAAGACTCCTTGTTTTCTTCTAGAAAGCTGGAGCTTCCTCCTTTTGCTTCTGCTTGTCAGGATCTGCTTAGCCCTTTGTTTTAACTGCACTTACTACAACCACTGAATCTTAAGTCTGGGACTACAGCTCTGCAGTCTCCTGTAGCAAAAACAATTCTCATTGATTCAAAGAGAAGAGATGGCACTGATAAGCTGCAAGCGACTTACTCCTAAGATGTTTTAAGTGGTAGATATTCTGAGTAGACCCAAGCACCCTCTTCTCATGGCTTTATTACCACTAAGTTCCCCAATTCCCTCCTTCCCCAGCTCAAATGGTAACTTACCACTCATTATGTCATGCTCTCTCACACTTTCTTTGTATCAGTTCTGGGTTTAACTTTGGGGGGGTTCTGGGTGTTTTTTGTGCTTTTGGGGTTTTGTTGCTTTGGTTTGGGGTTCTTTAGTTTGGGGTTTTTTCCCATTCCTGTTTAGCTTGCAGATTACCAATGCCACTCAGACTTGAAAAAGGCATTGTGTACTTAGAGGCTTTTTATTTTTAAACTCTAAAACACTACTTATACACTTGGTGCAGGTTTCTCTGCAGTCAAACTTCAGCTAAGAATTTAATATTCATCTGGCAGAAATGTTTTGCTAATACTGAACATGTCAACTGCTACTACTTAAGAAAGTATTTTACATCCTGAAAATCCATGGTAACGCTGGTACTTTTTATTAGATACAAATTAATTTGATGAATTTTCTGTGGAAAGACTAAGGTAAACCAATCAGACTTCATGTTAACATGATAATGGTGCTGTATAAAATACAGTAGTGCAAGTGAGGAGTCTATATACCTTGATTTGCCAAAAATTAAAACCTGACAAACCAGTATTGCCTACTTTTCTGTCTTGCATTTACTGTTAGTGCAGGATAACAACTTAAAATACAAGAATTCTATTTGAGAACTGTTTCTTTAGGGTTTTTTCCTAGATGCATAAATCTCAGCCATGAGTGACTAAAGTTTAGCTTCAAGAAATAAGTTACATCAAGCAGGAAGACTCAGGGTTTTTTTTCATGCTTCCTTTCTGCACGTCAAACTGCAGATGCCCCCAACTGCCTTACTTTTGATCCATTTAAGGATTTTCACAAATCCTGACATCTGCCCATGATATTTTTAAACATTAGGAATAATATTAGAAACTACCATTATCTTCAGTCTTTCAAGAGAACACCATTTCTGCTGACAGAGTAAGTAAAGTAAGTTTCAAGATGCAAAATTCTCCTTTGAGAAGAGTAACAGCAACTAATAATAATTCTAATATAATACATGATGTGAAGTGTAAACCTTACTGGTAATCACATTCCAAGTAGTTCAGGCTTTCCTTCACACTCACATTTAACACGTACCCAGTTTACACATACATAGCCTGTACCTAAGCAATTTAAAATCTGAGCTGCAAATCACCATTTTGCGCCAATTTTTGAAACAGTGTTAAACTGCGGAGTCTAGATTCTCGTTCACCATCCTTCCACAAAATGATGAGGTGGTCGGCAGAGCACGTAGCCAGTCCCAGTTCACCAAAATACAGGAACATCTGCAATGAGACAATTACTATTACCATGATGCTCACATGAGACTGTCAGCTTAATTAAATGTCTGGTGTACAGCTGGACTAAACAAACACACATTTTGCTTAACACAGGTATGCAAAATTACAATGCATACTTTCTATATGTTTGAGATGTCATAAAATCCCTACATAAAAACAACTCCTTAATGGCACTTCATGCTGAAAGATCTCAGTTTAGAAAAAGCAGTACAGCCTTACAGATAGGGAAGCTAAGCTACAGAATATTGAAGAAACTTGTTCAAAGTCAGCAGTAGTGGAGTGACTTGCATGAACTCTGATCTCCTGGTTTCCTAGGAATAGAAGCCACTGTTCTGTTCTCTTGGGTACACTGTCCTCTTCCCACACAACACCATGGGCTACCATCATCAGGCCTGGGAGGATCGTAAACAACTATGACAGGTATCAGCACATGCCTGGTCACACAGAGGAAGCCAAACAAGCAGGAACTGCAACATAGGAGAAAAGCAGAGCAGCAGTGGAGGGATTTTGCAAGAGCAATGGAGCTGACAAGTCATTTAGTCATCCCTGACTTCAGAGCCCCCCAGAAGGCTGCCTAAAATTAGCCACTAATCGCAGTTCAACAGCCAATGGAACCAGGTCATTGATATCACTATGGCATGTTTGCAGTGTCCTGACTCTTTAGCTTATTGAAGGTATCTGCCCAGGGGAGCATCCAGGCCAAGCCTACCAGCTCTGGCAACAGCCACTTACTAGCTATGCAGTTCCAGTAGAAATACTCTGTCCAAGCCCACATCTTTGACCATCACATTTCATCTCTACTCAACATTTCCAGCCTCCAGTCTGCCCAGAGTTTAAAAATGGAATTTTTCATATGTAGAACATTGCAGGAAATCATATCCACCATTATCACAGTTACTCTGTGACCCTGTAGTATCCCAGCAAAGACCCAGCATGTGCTCCTCACCTTCTTTACTATGCCTCTTGCTGAATTACACATTATGTCCTCTTTCTCAGATAGCAACTTTTCTTACTGATAAAAGGGCCTCTTTCAGCAGTTTTTCAGGAAGATGGTAGAGAAGGGCAGAAAACCTTGCAGAAATCCACATAGCAGAAAGGTTCACCTTAGCTATTAGTGAAAAGCTTTCAGCTTTTGGCAGTGGCAGTTCTGAAATCCAGTCAATCTCATGAATACTTGTGAGAACTACTCGAGAACCACATTGCTTCTCTCTATCTGCCCTTCCCCCTGCTCTTGCCAAGAATATGTATAAAAGTCCACAATAAGAAAGTGATTTGTTACTCCAATAGGTTTGTCAAACACAAAAAAGCGTGGAGGGAAAATGCCATTTAAAACAAAACCATAATTTACTAGGCAGACAGGCACAGAATGGAACCCGATACCAGTTAAGACTCGTAGCACAGAGAGCTACAAAACTCCTGATTGTTTTATATGAGTCCTTGTTAAGATTGCAAAATTAAGATGAAATCTGGAACAAACACACAGTTCCCAGCTGTATTTTTTGTAGTCCATTAAGAAATCAAATACCCTACATGTATACATATATCTGCACACACAATCTTTGGGCATCAGTGAGTGTTTGAGTTCTCATTAGAACTTCAAGTCAGTATGTATTATTGTTGTCACACTGCACTCCATGTACTACACAATTGATGTGTTCCCAGCCTCCAGCGCCACACAGTCAGAAGTTACAGTTCTTTAAGAAACACTGCCAAATTATATCAGTAAGTGATACTCACTTTTTCTTGTTCTCTCTAAAGCTGACCTACCTGCACAGCTGACGAATGACCAATCAAATCACCAACCAGCTCCAAGAAATACACAGGTGTATTTTCCTGCATCTTCTTAGCAGCTTGATTTGCCTGCTTGTTTGCCCTTCCAAATCCCCACATGTTGAAAAACCCTGGCAGGGGTGGGCAGGGGAGAGTAGAGAATAGCAAAAATCAAAATACAATTCTTTTCATCTAGGTAAAGAAAGAACTACAGGAGGCACTTGAAATCTAAAAGCAGGACAGTCTGCATGGCAAAATGACAGAAGCACTGTCCAGCACCACGTTTTCGTATCTGGATTATTCAGCTTGATAGGGGAAGGAAACACAGCTAGTCTTTTGTCCTAAATAGATTTAATTTAGCAAACACGCTGCATTACTCACCTGGATGAGACAATATACGGATTTAACAAGAAAACCAAGGAGTGGCAAAATGAATTAGCTGAACAGCAAAATGTAAACACAACTCAGTGATGTTTGTCCTCCTAAACTGTTACTTTTATAAAAAGAGGAGAGAAATGAGGTGGCAGTCTCTCCCTGTGTGTCCTGCGCTAAGGCGTTAGAGTGCTGGCATATGGGTAACAAGCAATGTTCTGATCCTGAATTGACTGTTTTCACATTGCTCACTGGCTTTCTCCCTCAGATTTAAAACTGTCAGCCAAGCTGGAGTGTACATATTGTACCCCACATGTTCCATTTAGATAGCAAGAAAATCTGTGCCACAGCCTCTAGGAGAACTGTGGAATAATACTAGCAGAAGTAAGAAAGTTGGGTTCTGTATACAATGCATATCAGCCTTTATTACTGACCCTTCCCTCAGCCCAACAGCACACAGAACAAGTGTGCTAGACCATGGCCCTGGTGCAAGGGAGATAACTGGAGAGATTAACAACTATTCAAGGGATTCTTAGAATAAAAAATAGAGCAAATCAACAGAAGTCCACCTATCTAACCATTACACGTTTTGTATAAATGCCTCCAATCATACACATAGATTTCCAATGTGAAACCAAACACTATGTGTCACAACAAGAAACAGAACTGTGTAAGATTAGCTGTCACCAGCAATACTGAAGACAGAACATTCCTGAAAAAGTCTTTCTAAATCAACCCAGGTAGCAAAACAATATTTAATAAAATTAAATTAAATTTAAAAAGCAGCCAAGTAGACAAGTATATCAAGAAAGTTATTCACAGCTTGAAAAAAAGAAGTCCTACAAGAGAGATTAACAGCTCATTACTGTTCCCAGTCCATAATACTAACTATATTGTCCAGAGCACCTCTCCAAGACCACAACTACTAGTGCCCAGGGAAGCTGCTGGCCTGGTCAAAGAGCAGCAGGCACTATACAGGCTGTGTTTGTACTTGGCAGAAAACACTTCCTAAAATACTTACAACTAGCTCTGAGAACCGAGATGCCAACAGTTAGTATGTAAGTGAGGTTAGATACAGCCTCAGAGTGAGTCCCAATGTAATTCTAAGTTCAAGGAGGAGATGTGGAAAACACATTTTGTAGTGCCAGTTGCTCATCTGCAAGCTTCTCTTTCGTTTTCTTCACAAGGTGCTGCAACTATTTACTCCTGCATGGCAGAGGGTCCAGCACAATTCAGTGCAAGAAGTGGATCAAGGTTTGTCAGGAGAGGTCATAATTTTTGTTAAATCAGCTGATACAATTGTAAACTCTAAATAAACTTTGTGGCACAGAGCTGTTTCAGCTGGACCTTCTAGCTTCCTGTATCAGATCTTGGAGGGCTTGTAAACCCATGTCTTCTTCAGTTTCCCTCCCACATCTATTACCAGTTGGTTGAACACAAGACATTATCTCTTCTTACAAAGCCTGTAAGCCTCTCTACTACTATATGGTGAATATCAGCTTTCCTGGTATCCTTTTTAAATGTTCTTTGCACTATAAGCAAACCTGTTGGAACTGGTTCAGCTGGCAGCTGCTGCTTTTCTCGGAGCTCCCAAATGCGCACACTGCCATCTTCTGAACAGGAGATCAGCTGCCTGTAAAAACAGTTGTTAAGCAAGACTAGCATGGATACTTATCTGCACTAGTCACCTTGTGATGTTTCCACAGAAGAAATAGCAAGTGTGTCAGGGTCTACACAAGTTTGCTAGAACTCTCAAATGCAGCAGGACATCCAGGTGTTCCGTACAAAACAAGGTGCCTTTTTATCAGGACAAAACTACAGTGGACTTTCAAAATAGGTGGAAAAAAAATTACACATTTTCAATCCCGTTTTAAAATCCTACTGCTCTGTAAAATAAAAAATAACAAGTCTAGACTCTGCAAACACAGTTCCACTAACTGCCTTCTATAAGCTTACTTTCATTAAGAAAAAACATTTTTTTCTTATGGGAAAACAACAAAAGGAAACATACTTCTTTTCATTACATGTTTAGAGCAGCGCGTATATTTGCAAGGCCCTAATTTTTATCTTCTGACAGGCTTTTTCTCCATTGAAGAAGAGTATAAAGGGTATAACACATAACTATGAGATACATACAATGTAGCAAAATGTCCACCTTGTCTGTGAAAATAAGTTCCAGCTAGAAATTCAGCTCGACAAATGCTGGAAGTTGTTATTTTTTGTTTAAAAAAATTTCAACTGTTAGAAAATATTTAGTGAAAAATATTTACTGAATACGCCATAGGCCTTTGCTTTATAGAAGTAAAATGCCATTAAGCTGTATTTTCTTAGTGTAAACAAAAGTTCCTTATCAGGTCTGATTTTGAAAACAGTCATTTTACTCTAAGCCTATGCACTGAGCATACTATAGCTTCTTCACACTGAATTACAATGACTTCTTTTCAAAAATCAGATCAACAAGCTCCATCTAATAAAAGCAGATCAAACTAAAGATCATGTCCCTGCCCCAGAAATTAGATGTAGCTCTGCAGACTGACTCTAGTCACCCTTCCAAGTTCTGCATTTCTTTAGTGCATTAACAAAATGTACCATGACTCGTACCTGTTTGGGAGCTTCTCAATGTGCAGTACAGAAGAGTCGTGAGCAGTTCTTTGGCAGGCAATCACACGCTTCATTTGAAGATTATATACGTATATGCCTTTCCCAACAGCAGCAAACACACACTGGAAAGAAAATTCAATGGAACAACTTGCAGAAACAGATACTGAATGATCACCCTGCATGTAATGGATTTCCAGCAGCACTGTGATGTCATCTGGCCTGCATTATCTAGCTTGTTTCTGTCCTTGTTTACTGCTTTACCCCAAACATACGGAATCAGCAAGTTACAGAAGAAAATAAAAATGGATTTTTTGAGGAAATGAGAGATGTGTTCCTATACTCTAAGCATTTATTTCATTCCTGTATTTTCATCCTGCACCTTACAGTCCAAGCAGAAACACATTAACACATTTCTGCAATTAAACATTTATGTTCTTACACTAAAATAATACCCTGTGTTTTGACAAATTCCTGTTTTATCAAGAAAGACTGAAAATACTGGAAGCTGTTCTGCATTTTTGCCTTATTTTTTTAAACTTAACTGAGGCTGCACAAAGAGGTATTGCTCAAGCATTTGCATTCTACAGCGTGCGGAAAAGGAATTCTCTCACAGAAAGGTATTACACAATACTGCAAATAGTTGGAACCATTTATGCATTCAATGCTCTTCAGAAAAAGTGCAGGGATTCTGTTTCATAACCATCATGGCCTTAAGAAGCCACAAACAACTCACAGATCATTGGACACAGACCCTCTCGTGACTTGTAATAATTTTAGACAATTGCATTGCATGTACATACACACAACAAATATTTGGTACCAAACAGAGGAGTGTAAAATGCTTCCATTCAGTATATATTTAGATTTTGAATCTACCCTGTTTAGGTGATTGTAGGCTGAATCTTTTCCCTGAACGGCCTGCTTCCATCTACACAGCCCAAACATTAATGTCTCATAAGCAGTTCACACTACAGACCTGCCAACATTTTATAAAACTGGTAACCCAGTGTCTTTGACTAAGATTTCATATACTCATATGTATTCAACATGTTTTGACACTTTTCAAAACTCTTTGTCCAGGTTTTTGTTGGGTTTTAGTTTTAGCTGCCCTTTTTTCTTTTTTCTTTTTTTTTTTTTTTTGTGTGGGGTTTTGGTTTGGGGTTTGTTTTTTTTATTTCTTATGCACATGTGTGGTGGGAGCTCAAATAGCTCTGAAACTAAGCTTAAATTTCTGATAGCACTCTACCAGATCAGGGAAAAACACCAAAGCCATTATTATTATATTCCTAGTTTTGTGCAAGGCTCAACTTAGTGGCCTTCCACATCACTTTGCCACTCCTGTATCTCAGCCTTTTCTCCCTTACAATCTTCCACCTTAAGACAGGCTATTGAATTTCATATAGTTCTTACAGCTTTGCAAAAGACACTCTTCACAAATCGGGGGTGGGGGGTGGGTGTTGGGTTTTTTTTCCCATTAACAAATTATGAAGCATACATTGTACATCTACCTTGACAGGCAAGTTAAATACACACACACACACATTATCAGGACAGCAGATGCACTCCTTAGCATGGTTTTCTAGTATTGCCAAACCTTTACCATCCCATTTGTCTCTGAATGATGTTTTGCCTACAAGCTTGGTGTTGAACTAGACATCTTCTCCAGTTACTTAATTACCAAGCTGCTGACAAAGTTCCTGACAGAGAAAATACCAATTTTATTTTGTAAACATGAAGAACAGTATTCTGCTTTCAGATAGCAGGTAACAAAGTAATTCATTATAGAAAGTGGTGAAGAAATGTATTCCTATGTAGGAACTTCACAATACAGGCAGCTCTACCCTAAAAACACCTTCTATTTCAGGATATAATGCTACAACTACCTTTTCCTCTCATGATTCAAAAGTATCATAATAAATAAATAAAATTCTGCAGAAACTTCAGTTCAGTTCCATGAAAGGAAGAAAATCCTCAGCAGGCTTGGATTCCACATTCAATGTTTTAACTACTTCTGAACTTCCCAAAATTCTTTCCCCCTCCCTTAAAACCTATCTGTGTAGCTTTCAAGCAGGGATTCAGAAAGTTTGAAGCCAAATTACAGAACTTCTCCTGAATAGGACTGGCTTTTGCTCCTTCTAGAACTAAGCACCCACAACAGAATCACAGAGACACACACATGCATGCATGCGCACACACACACACACACACAAACACACCAATGTTTCTCACCAATGTTTCTCTCCAGTGTTTCAGGAATGTTCTTTTCACAGACAAATGCACCAGATGACTACTTGGACCTCAGCCTACATTCAGGATTTTCCATATCTTTTATTTTGTTATAGTTTGCATCTCTGAATCCATTTCCAGGAATCCCTTTCTTGTATGTTTTGCATAAATCTTTCATATCAAAAAAAGCAAACTGAAAACACAAAACACTTGGCCTCCTGTGGTAAGGTCATGCCACCTCATTTGAAGCAGTTCACTGTTTAAAGCTTTTTACCTCCTCATCAGATGTCAAATGTTGAACTGAAGTTTCATTTGGGCTTTGGGATAACTTTATTTCTGGCTGCACATCCGGATGAACAGACGAGTCCCAGAAGTTGCACTCGGATGCCTGCTTTGTCCAGTCAAGTGCATCCCAAACTATTAACTCACCCACATGAGAACCTGTCACAAAAGTAAAGTCTAGAAGGGAAAAAACCCACACATATAAAAATCACACTGTATTAAAAAACAAACAAACAAAAAATACACACAAAATTACAATCCTACAAAACTAAACAAGCCTGGTTTTGAGTGGAGCTTTGTAGAACGTGCAGTATGTAACTGACCAGACAAAAAACTCTCCCTTTGACTGAACATTCATTTGATTACATAGCATAGCTCAGATGAGCAAAAGAAGATGAGCTCTCTCTTGCAGAATTGTAACTAACAAGGAGAACATTCACCAGCCACAGGGCACAGTTCAGTATAGCAAAGGCAAGAAATACCATCAAATATATAAGTATTTGAAGTTCATTTGTTGCCTACACACAAAACCCTTCTACTCCTTGCACAAGAAGGTGTATCAGCACCTCTCAGACACAATAACGTATGTCTTTGCCATAAACTTAAATACTGATGACAAACTAAATGGATGAGTTAATAGCAAGATTGAAGTAGTTGCTCATGAATTTGTTAATCACACATGGAAAGGAACTGCTTCAACAAGACTTAATGGAGGTAGCATTTTGTCTTTTTAAGCCCCATATTGTTTCCCCTTCATAATTATAAAAGAGAAAATAACAGCAATGTATATACACTCTCTATCCCATCAGAAACAGCTTGTCCTGGGCTCTAGGGATGCTCCATGAAAACAAAAAACGACAGAGAAGAACTAAGTACAAATGGTTTATAGCTGTAGTAAAGTAGACAGAACTTCAGGTAGTAGCTCAGTATTGCCTTAACAAGCAGCAGAGATTGTATCACCTTCCAGGGCCTCTAAATAACAGATCTATATGCAGGCCCACATCTGCACACCCGGAGCTTTCAGTTACCTTGGGACTACAACTGCAAAGGACATGGCATTAAATGTTCCATTTTAAGAACCAGAAGGAATGAAAAAAAATTTGCATTTTAAAGTTTTCCAACAGGAAGAAGAGTTCTCACCAATGACATTGCCTCTTTTGTGCCCTTTCTACATCATAACCTGCCTGATTTTTTTTCACTGTTAATCCATAAATAAAGCCACTCTATTTTCACATTCCACTACCATTGCAGCTACACAGAAAGGCACATCTACTAATTGTGAAGTTTCCCTCCAATTAAAAGTTTGGTCCATAGTTGAAATATCCCACTGGTAACTAAGAAAACTAGTCACATTATAAAACAACTCTTACCATTGACACTGACTAATGACAAAATGTTATCCTGATGGTCAACAAGGCGTTTTAATTCAAGGATATTCCAACCTTCAGATCCGCCATTAGAAGCAATCAACCTAAAAATTACTTCAAAGACAGAGAGGTAAATTGTCTAAATAAGCTTTATAATCCAGAATAAAATGTGGCTATGCTTAAATAAACCACAATTTTTCAAAAGACACTAACAAAAACGTGAGACAGTACAAGATGTGCAAAGCCACTTACGACCATTCGTAACACCAAAAAAATCGGAATATATTATTTCAGTGTTTTCAGTATTCAGCAACTATAGGATAAAACACTTCAGGCTAGCAACACTGAAATTCAGATAATCTGCCTACATTAGAAGTTGCAGAAAGTAGAAGTGGAAAATATTAGACATCTTTATTAATAAGTGAAGTAAAAGCAAAACATATTTCTTGAAGCCTTATCTGACTGAAAACTATCATTCAAAAGCATGGAATATTCTCTAGTAAGGCAATCAAGATCGCCAGGAATTACGACTTTATTTTAACCAATCTTAGAATTTCTTTTATGATATCTCAAGGGCACTCCGGAAGAACTGTGGGAAGTTCAGATGGAAGTTTGCATTGTATAGCGATGTCTAAACATAAGAAGACTATTTGCTCCTGATTCTTTAATCAGAATATCAGATTACTATTTTTCAGCTGTTTAATCATATCGAGCAAAGTTTGTTTTGCTGATCCAGTGTCCTACTTTTACTCCTGGATTTTTTTTTTATAGATCACTATTTAAAAGACTCTGTATCAACAGCTAGCTGATGATTTACAGTTTGCATAGACAGAAAACCCTGTCTCCAAGCGAGCAAGAGAAACCATCACATTGTCTCATTATAACTTTGGGCAATATAATGAGATTGGTAGTATCTCACATTCCTGATGTTGGGATAAGGAGGCTCTAGAGAAGCCTAGCATCTGACAGCTCAGGTAATGAGATCCTGACCTTCTCCAGGACAAATGTAGACTGCCACAATCAGTTCTGGCAATAATAGTAATAACAATAACAAAGAATATAGGAAAGTTTCATCATGCAGATCTCAACAGAATTCCTGAATGAGATTAGCGTTGTCTGACTGTCAAATAACAGAAAAAGGAAGAAGGTTGCTAATCACACCCTTATACCATTCACTACTTCTATACAATTCCAGCAGAATGCTCTTTACACACATCTCTGATAAGCAGCTGTTATAGAAGTATATTAATATTTAACAAAAATGCAAGATACTCACTTAGCTCTTTGCCAACAGCTGCCGCAACACAATTTTTAGGCAATTCAAGCAAAGCACTGATACCTTTGAAAAAATACAGGAGATAAGGCAGAAAAGGATACTCATTGACCACAATAAAATACAGGAAATTGTTAATTCCTTATTAATAAAGTTGTTCATAATCTTCCTTCCATTTACAAGGTATTACAAAAATAAAAGCATACTGCCTGAAGTGACAGTTGAACAGCATTGCAAGTTAACGGATTACCTCAGATGGAGACAGAGTCAGGAGTTTTGGTCCTGAACCCAAGAGAATTCTGAATGTCAAACTTGAAGCTGGGATTCAGTAATCTTTTTACTTTAAACACAGTTACGATATTTATCTCCTAATGCTGGACAGCATTAAGGACACCATGGTAATTATTTAGACTCTCAACGTATGCAGTACTAAAGTTTTTAGATACTGCTACTACCACAGTATGTGTGATACTAGAATACTGTGCAGAGCCAGCTGAAGAAGAGCAGGGCACAAGATAATATGTCCAGCTTGCTGTTACCGTGCCTTCACCCCGCCCAGAATTCCCCCAGCCTGTGCTGCCACACCATTGAAGG